TTAAAATAGAGCAAATAAGTTACAAATAAATTATTAAAAGGTAATTAGTACATAATGTCCATATCTTTCACTTTTATTGCGAAAAACGTCCATACCTTTCATTTTTTGACATTTTCACCTTTAATTACATATTTGATTGCGTAAACCATCATTTCTATCTATTTTCATCAAATTTCTCAATAAAGAGCTATGAAATAATGAATATACCATTCTATTTAAAAATAATAATAAAATTAAATAATTGTTTTTTAATTTCTAATTTAATTATAATTTATTTGAGACTCGTTTGCACTTTTTTTTAAAAAATTAATTTTTATTTTTTTAATAATTGATTTGGGACTCGTTTGCACTTTTTAAAAATTTGGGATTATGGTTGCAATTAATTCTTTAGCTTCTTTATTTAAATATAATTGTATATTCATCATTTGACAGCTCTTTATTGATAAATTGGATGAAAATTGATAGAAATAATGGTTGCACAATCAAAAGTGTAATTAAAGGTGAAAATGACAAAAAAAGAAACGTAAGAGACTTTTTCACTATAATAGTGAAATGTATAAAGCTAATTACCCTTTGAATAATTTATATGGAACTCATTTGCTCTTTCTAAAAGAATTTGGGACAATTATTGCAATTAGTTTTTTTATTTAAAGAGAATAGTATATTCGTCATTTCACAATTTTTAATTGAGAAAATGGATAAAAATGACCTTTTACGCAATGAAATGTAGAAATAAGGGTGAAAATGACAAAAAATTAAAGATAAGAATGTTTTTCGTAATAGTAGTGAAAGGTGGAGACGTTATGTGCTAATTATCCCAAATTTAGTCAGAAAACTAACCATTCAGACGCACAATCCTCACAAAATATGTGTTTACAGCACAAGAAGATTGGAGCGTGCATATTTTCCTGGCAAATGGCACACAAATCCCCTGCTGCATTAACCTGCATTAGATTACATGAAGATATTGAAAAAAGTTCCCTTTAAAAACTCGAAACACTAATTCAGGCATAAATCATTAAAGCAACGAATGAACATGGCACTAAATTGAGCACATGACATGGGGCATAAACCAATGCTTGCAAGAACTTGACCAAAATGCAGCAATGAGACGACGCTGCAAGTGCAACAACAAAATGAAACTGCTGGGACTGCCAAGAGCTCATTGGCAAGGATAACAGGTATTGCATATACCATTTTCTGGTCTACAAACTAAAAAGGAAATTTTTCTCTAAACCTTCTTAAACAACTCAAAGACAAATTTAGCACACGAAAACACTGAGCAGAGTTGGGGTAACTAGATCACCTGTTCAGATGTTGCATAAGCTCCATAATGGATATCTTTACATGATAATGCTTTCAAGGCAGCAAAGAAAGATTGAACCTAAAAATACAAACCAGAGAAAAGCAAAACTTCAAGGTCTTGCATACAATATTTCAATAGCAAATTCCAAAAATAAGAACAAAAATAATTTGATATGTAACTATACAAAAGAGGAAAAAAAAGGATTGCAAAGCGGAACCATGAACAGAAGACACTCTAATGACTAACATAAGTTACTACCTTCTCAACAATCGAGGTGAGTTTGAAAGTCAAGTATAACCCCGTCATCAGTGATGAGAAAAGGCTTCCATATTCTTTATTCAAAAAGAAACGATACCATACAGGAGCTGGCAGCAAAGCACGGTAAAGCAGCAGTAGGTACTCAACCAAAGTCAGCATTTGACCCTGTTAATTACAAATCTCTTTATCAGATGACAATATTAAAGAGCACTAAACATCATAATTTACCAAAATCTTCAGCACAGTTATTAGTGGTACGGAAACATACCTGCCTACGATAGTTTTGGCCTCTGCTGTTCTTGTAATACAACAATAGAAAGCACTTGAAGATCATTGCAGCCTGACGGACCAGTGTATCTGGGGAAAGAATCAGATACGATCATGGTTTAAAAAGGCGGTAGTGAGGCCCGCCTCACTGTGAGGCTTATGTAGTATGCCTCGAGGCGGTATTTTTGAGGCTAAAAATATGAGACTCACGCCTTTAAATATGAGGCGCACGTCTCAAGGTGAGCGCCTCATGAAGCATGAGGCATGCGTCTCATTTAAAATTTGATTTTTCAATTGTATGAAAAGAAATTAGAAAATGCCCTTTTTAAAAAAGAAAAGGAATCATTTAAAAGGTGTTTTGGGCCTAAACAAAACAATAAAATACCTAAAAAACTAAACGGTAGCCAGAAATTAGAAGACCAAAAAAGGAACAGATTCAACAGAAATTCAAAAGTCAGAATTCAAGAAAAGCATCGTCTTCTTCTTCAGTTCATCATGTATGTTTTTCTTCTTTTCTTTTTCTTCTTCTTCTTCTTAGGGTTCAGTAAATCTAGCATGTAATTAGTTGTTTCATATACTCATCTGAAAATTATAAATTATATAAATGTTTTTATTTATATAATTAACACACACGATTTCATCCAATCACTTGTACAAACTCTAAAACTCATGTATCCATACTTCTTAATCTGCAACATCTCTTCAATATCCCCACATCATTGTCAAATCTTCATGCAACAATACACTATACCCAGATTTATGCTGATCCACCATAGCCAGCTTTCTTCCAGTTTTTTTTTTGTATTTTTGTATTATTTTATAATTCTTTTACTTCGATTTTTTGTTTTTTGTGAGACTTACGCCTCAATCCGCCTCGAGGCTTACGCCTCGCCTCATAAAGAAAAACCGCCTCAGTACTTAGTTTCGCCTTTTTAAACGTTGGATACGATAAATTTGTTGAAACTGCAAGCAAATGACTCTATGCAAAAGAAGAAAAATTACAATGACTAAATCACATGAACACACCGTTCAACATGATAATGAATATAGCATGCCAGAAAGGTGGTATAGGCTTTGGTGGAAGTATCACCAATGGATATAGAAGATCATCACTCCAGTACCACCAGTAAAACCCAACCACATGAACCGCTAAGAGAATAACAATGCCAACGAGAACAGATATTTTCCTCTCACCCTGAAGAAATTTAAACGACTTCTTGCTTAACACTAAATTTTATGACAATACAGACCAAATGAGGGCTTCAGATTTTTGGTTCAGTAATTCACTCCTAAAAGAGGATGCAGATATATAGGGGTATCTAACGGTACCTTAAGTGCTGTCTGTTTCCGTAAAAAATCATTTGACTTGAACATTACAGCAGAAATCCAAATGGTAACAACGAAACCTGCAAATGTTGCAATAAATCAAATATAAATTCTGAACATAATAATATTATAAAAGCCCATCGTCAACCTCAAAAATTGAAAACGAAGGATATGAATCCAAAACCCCATGTGGTTATTATTTACACTCTTTTACCCCATCCCCACCCGGATTAACGGCTCCAAGTCAGCATACCACGTGGGCAGCCACGTATTCAGTAGAAAAGTCAGACAGGGGGGAGTCAACACAGGCCGAGTCAACATGCAGAGGCTCCTCTAGTCCGAAGCTCCTTCATGTGAAAGCAGAGGATCCCTGAGTCCGAAGCTCCTTCGTGTGAAAGCAGAGGCTCCTAAATCCGAATCTACTTCGTTCAAAGGCGGAGTCTCCTTAAGACCAAAGTGCTAATGCTTAGCACAGACGTTTCCTCGTAACAGATTCGAAGATCTCTCAGAACTGATTGACGTGACATCTGCCATAAAGTGCTTGCAGTGTTAGCGTGTGTCAGGGAATCAGTCTACAAAGTAGAACGGCGGATCTTCTACCAAACATTAATTGTCAAGATTAGACAGTGATGTAAGGTTTCGGTCTAGGGGATGTCGCCACGTAGATTTGATCTGACGGTCACCACGTCGCCTAAAATAATATAAATAGCCTATCTTTGTATAGAAAGGGAGGAGAATGGAAAGAACGGATGAATACACTTTGCTTTGCTTTCTCTTGTGGAATACACCATTCATCGAGATCATAACACATTACAATATATTCTCTTTTATCTATCCTTCCACATATTCCATTACAAAACAGATATTCATTTTAGAAAAATCGATCGAGCTCTTGTTGATAGTGCAGGGCCGTTTAAATCAAACCACCGGAGCTTGAACAGTTGTGTCTCTTGCCAGAAAGCACCTCCCGCGTTCCATCCAACCGTCGAAACACGTTGGATCATTGCTTGACGTGGCAAGGGTGGGCCCGGTATCTGTTGAGTTCATTTTTTTGGGTCAACAGATTGACGCCATCTGTGGAAAATACTTACAGTTAACCACGAGCACGCGTAAAAAAAAGGGCTAGGTTAAGTTTCCGAAAGCTTGCCCGGAAGTTCTCGCCCTTGAAAAAGGAGTATCCTTGCAAAAAGATCTGCTAAGAACCCAAACCTTTGGAAAAAGGGACTAAACTACGTAAATAAAAAATCGAAATATGAGCTCAACTGACGAAAATGCCCTTAGAAGGTCGAGGGAAGCTCCTGAAAAAGGAGAACCCTCACACGCTGCCCCAGCATCTAGCCCAAGGCCTTCTATGCGTAGAAGATGAGGTCAGCGAGGCGGCGGAGTTGCAGCCAGGTTGACCAGAGAAATGGAAACAATGGCTACCAACATGAGAAACATCACTCAGCAGAACCAAGCCATGCATGAAATGTTGATGAACTAGAGAAATAGCAACAATGGCTGCCAACATGAGGAATATCGCTCAGCATAACCAAGCCATGCATGAAATGTTGATGCGCATGCAAGAACAAAGAGGCCATCAGGCTCCTCAATATACTGCCCCTGAAGACGTATTTTCGGACACTCAAGCCTATTACCACAAGGAGGAGGTCCAGAGTCAAATGGTGGGACATTGCCATTACGGGATGGAAACTCCTCAGGAAGACGGGGACGAAGTGGATTCGTCAAACAATCACGCCTCGGAAAGGCTGCGGGAAGAAAGACCTTAGAGATCCGGAAGTGTCTTTGAACAGGCTAGGAACGAGGCAAAAATCTCATGTCCGTCCTCCTAGGAATATGCGTGAGAGGCGAGAACAGGCTAGGAACGAGGCAAAAACCTCCCAACAGCTTCCCCGAACCAACCAAAGGGAGGATGAGAACCCAGATGGCCCTCAGAGGTCTTGCGACCCTGACGATGATGATGAGCATTCTCATTTTTCCGAAGCCATAAGGAATGCTCCTATGCTAAACCATTTCGTACCCCCTAAAATACAAAAATACGATGGAAAAGGTGACCCCATATGAACCTGAAAGAAGCCACCCCTGCGATGAAATGCAGAGCCTTCCACCTGACCCTAAGTGGAGGGGATGAGATTTGGCATGCCAGGCTACCAGAAGGAAGCATTCGAAACTGGCCAACCAAAGGGAGGATGAGAACCCAGATGGCCCTCAGAGGTCTTGCGACCCTGACGATGATGATGAGCATTCTCATTTTTCTGAAGCCATAAGGAATGCTCCTATGCTAAACAATTTCGTACCCCCTAAAATACAAAAATACGATGGAAGAGGTGACCCCATATGAACATGAAAGAAGCCACCCCAGCGATGAAATGCAGAGCCTTCCACCTAACCCTAAGTGGAGGGGATGAGATTTGGCATGCCAGGCTACCAGAAAGAAGCATCCGAAACTGGCCAGAGTTCAAGAAAGCCTTTTTGAAACGCCTCGCAACCAGCAAGGAGGGGGAAAGATCCATCCAAAGGTTGCAAGACATGAGACAACAACAAGTTGAATCCTTGAAAAGCTTTACTTCACGCTTTACAGACGAGATGACATATTGCGTGCAAGTCACGGATAGAGAAGCCTTGACTGCACTAAGAGGAGGCCTAGACATGAACTCTCTTTTTGGAGAGATGTACAGAACAAAGACCCCGCCACCTATTATGCGCTGCTGGAAATGATAAGGCGTAAGATCCTGAATGAAGAGCTCAAAGATCACAGGAACACGGCCAGTCAAAGTCTGCCACCTCCGTAAATGCGAAGGGAAAGAGGTCCAACCTCCCATTTGATGGACAATCAAGCCCCTATGAATCACGGACAGGAACTTGTTGCTGCAACACTCAGTGCAGTGCCTACATTGGCATACGAAGAGGTCGATCCTGGCGCTGAAATGCACCAGCGTCAGCCCTACCCAAGAAATCTACAAAGGGGGCGAGGTAGGGGACTAGGTGCTGAACCTAGAAATAGGGAAGAAGTATCACAATACTACTCATATCACCAATCTCACGGACATCGGATAGAGGATTGCCGAGAAGCTGTGAGATTCCCCTGAGGAATTCTCCGAATAGGCAAAACCAACAAGCCTGAAAGAACGAACAGCGTCGGCTTAATAGGAATGACCCTAGGTAGGGTCAGAGGCATCGCCGAGGCCCTCTACCAGGTAATGAACATGAGCCTATTCGAGAAATCGACACAATCATAGGCGGTCCTCACGTGGGTAGAGATTCTAGAAATTCCCAAAAGAATTACACCAGGGAAGCAGTCTATCCAGCTATGGCAGGCTATATAGTGAATCAATCCCCCAAGTAAGAAGGTTTTACCTCCTATCACTTTTACACATAAGGACACTATGGGAGTGCATTATCCGCACTGTGACGCCTTAGTAATAAGGGTCGTCGTAGCCAGTAATGGCCTGAAAAGAATGTTAGTGGATAATGGAAGCTCTGTCAATATCCTATTTGGAACCACCTTTGACAAAATGAAGGTCGATCACGAGCTTACCCCAGTAAGTTCCCCCTTGTATGATTTCACTAGAGACAGTATCGTCCCTAGAGGCAAAATCACTCTAGCAATAGAGATAGGGGAAGAACCCCTAATTGCTCACCATTTTATGGAATTCCTTGTGGTTGATAATCGATCTGCCTATCATGGGGTCCTTGGAAGACCTGCATTAACAGACCTATGGGCAATTACCTCAATCCACCACTTATGGATAAAGTTTTCCACCGAGAATGGTATGCCACGATTCGAGGAAATCAGAGAGGTGCCAGGGAATGCTACTCCAATTCCTTAAGGAAAGCCGAACCAATGACACTAGTCATATTCACTGAGATGGATATGGACGACCTCCCTGAACAAGGGATCGCCCCTGAACAAGGAGAAGACATCCTTATGACCGAAGCTCTTGGAAAAGAAGCAGTTACTGAAGAAGCAATCAGCTTAGAAGAACTAGACCCTCGCATTATTGATTGTGAGCCTCAAGCGGCCCCAATTGCGGAATTGGAAATCTATTCTGCAGACCCTATGGATACAACAAAGTGTCTGCAAGTGGGAAATAATTTGCCACAAGAAATTAAAGAGAGGTTGAAAAACTTCTTGTGCAATAATCTTGATGTGTTCGCCTGGGAGCATGGCGATATAGTAGGCATTAGTCCCAAAGTTAGCTACCACCATCTGAATATTAACCCGAAGGCTATGGCTAACCGACAAAAGAGAAGAGCCCTCAACCTTGAGAGATATGAAGCCCTAAAAGACAAAGTAAAGAAATTGATTGGCAACGGCTTCATTAGGGAATCCGTATATCCGAAGTGGGTCTCCAACCCAGTTCTGGTAAAGAAGCACAATGGGAAGTGAAGGGTATGTATTGATTTCTCAAATATGAACCAAGTATGTCCTAAGGACAACTTTCCACTCCCCAGGATAGATCAGCTAGTGGATTCAACGGCTGGACATGAACTTCTCAGCTTCATGGATGCTTACTCCGGTTACAACGAGATCCCTATGTTTCCACCAGACGAGGAACACACTTCCTTCATCACTGATAAAGGATTGTACTGCTACAAAGCCAAGCCCTTCGACCTAAAGAATGCGGGGGCAACATATCAAAGGCTGGTTAACAAAATATTCACCGACCTAATTGGCAAAACCATGGAGGTGTATGTAGACGACATGCTGGTAAAAATTCGAAGATCAACGGACTACATTGCCCACCTAGATGAGACATTCCAGATCCTACGAAGGTATCGAATGAAGCTCAACCCCTTGAAATGTGCTTTCGGAGTGTCGTCAGGCAAGTTCTTTGGTTATATAGTTAATCAGAGGGGCATCGAAGCAAACCTTGCAAAGGTCAAAGCTTTGATTGAAATGAGGTCACCCCAGAAGCCAAGGGAAGCACAAAGCCTTACTAGGAGAGTGGCGGCTCTAAACCACTTCATCTCCAAAGCAACAGATTAATGCCTCCCATTCTTTAAAATTCTTAAAGAGGGAAACAAGTTCCAATGGACGGAAGAAT